CAAAAAATTTATATTTTATGTTGTTATATAATTTTACGTAATTTTACTAAGAAATTAATAGTAAATATTTTGGTTTGAACATTTTTAGCTTCATATTAATATATCACTTTTCTATAATTCAATGTTTTACAAAACCCTTTCTTTCTCTCCTTTACATACACATTATACTTAATGTTAATATTTAAATAATATATTATATATTATTAATTATATTATTAATTATATATTATTCATATATATTAATATATTATTAATATTAATATAGCGCTATTTTATACGAAGCTAAATAAAAGACAAATAAGCAAAGCAGAAAAATAGAATAAAAGTATATCTATAATGTTAAATTCAATTAAGTATTAAAAATTGAAAGATATATATTTTTTCGAAGAAATATTTATTTCACAATAGTATTGCTTGATATAAAATATTTTTTACGTTAAAATTTCACACTAATAAATTACATTCTAAAGCAATTTTATTTTTTTATAAGAATAAAAAATTTTTAGTATTAAGGGACAACCGAGGACAGAAAGATATATATCAATATTAATATATGTATAATTTATTTAATATATAATGAGAACAAAGACCGTAAGAAATTAATTATATAAGTTTTGAAAAGAATTCAGTGTTGTGTTACAGAATTTATACTCTTTCTTGATCTTTATAAAAATTCTCACGCAAATTAAGTAATTAAACATTTGTCTCCGACAATATACACCTCCTCTAGCTTTTAGACTTGGATTTTAATTTTAGTTAGCAACTTTTTATAAATTATGCTGTAAATTACAAATTTATATCTGTTAAGTATATACGGCTTTAGTATTAAAAATTTTCGGAACGGAAAATGTTTCAATGTGAATACCCTACGCTAATCTAACTAATCTCATACGTTTAGTTAGTATTTTGGCAAAGAACCAAAAATTAATATAATTTCGCTGATGATTTTATATTCAGACATGTATTAAGTACATGTAATAATGATTTTTATAATTACAAATGCATGAAAGGCGATTATTATTATAAGCTGATTTTTCCTTCGTGTATTTACAACGTCATAAATTAAATTCAGCGAAGTTATATTGATATTAATTCTTGCCAAAGATTCACAGCAGACCGTCATCTCGTTTGGCGAGCACACTTAGGACGCGGGGAACCCCCCCCCCCGCGCGGAAGCACACCCGCGATCACACGGCGGATCCAAAAGCTTCCCCGAGAGAAAGATAAAAGCTGACCTTACTGCCGATCGGTTTATCGAAAATCACGAGTCTGCACTCGCGCGGTGCATTACCTGTCGCACCATCGAATCCATGTTCGGGGAACGGAGATCGCGGGGGTGGGTGGTGATGTGGGAGATGACGCTTCGGACACCGTGTGAAGTGGAAGAAGAGCACTGGACTGAATGCTGAAATATGGTGACGTTTCGGAGCTCATACCGGTACTTATATAGAGACTTCTCTCTCTCTCTCTCTCTCTCTTCTCTCTCTCTCCCTTTCTCGTCTCTCCGCTTCCACGGAGAAGATCCGCTTCCTGTCGCTGCCACCGCTGCCGCCGTCGGGGGAGCAAGCCGAGAGATTTGCCCAAGCGGCGGCATAGGCAGTATAAGAGACGGCGGCCGTATGTACTCCAGTTCACATAGGGAGGCCGCGTGTGTGTGGAAAGCCCGCGCTTTATTTCTCATTGTTCTCTCTCGGCCGGCTCGCGCGATTTCGGGCCTCGGGAGCGAGCGAGTGAGCGTAGACGAACGGAACGGAGTGGATCCAAGTCGGGCCGCATCTACGCTGCGGAGAAAGCTGATTACTTCATCGCGTGGGACAGCCCGCGGCGCGGCTCACCGCTGCTCGCCTTCTTCGAGCGGACTAATTAGGCAATTGAGTCGTTAATTAAATCGCAGGACCAACGGACGCGAGTCCACGATTGGGCCCACGGGAACGAGCTTGTTAGCTACGGAAAGGCTCTCGTACGGCTCTCTGAAATGGATGCTAATGTGGGGTTGTGGGGAAGGAAAGGGGCTGCATAGAGCAACGTTGATAGAGCTGAAGCACAATTGTTACTATAATATTAGAGAGAAAGATGACATAAAATTGATTGATTCGTAACTATAAATAATTTTTTATTGCGAATTGCCAAAGTACAAGTCAGAATCTTGAAAAGTAAATTAAAGCGAGATTAAAATTAAGCTACATTTATAGAAATAGACATAGGGATACCTAAGACCTAAGCATTAATAAAATTATATTATTATATTTTTTAGCTGTTACAGTACATACATGCGTGCCTAATAAACCACAGGGAAAAAGGGTTAATTTAGCAGCTAAGACTACTACGACTATTGAAACTAAGCTACCAAGCATAAACCGATTTGGCTGATTATAAAGATTTTAATCTGCGGACAATGATGTCTACGCACATCAATTCAAACGTCACGGATGTAAACGCCTCTGAATGAGGATTACGACGAAGAGGCGTGCGTTGCAAGCGAGTAACATCGCTCCTGTTTTGAAAATTGTGCAATCGGGCCTTAATTATGCAGAACCCCCCCGTGCGTGCCTGTTCGCTCCGTAAATCCTGCCTTTCGATCCTTCTGTGCGTCGTCACCGCGCACGAGGAAGGGCACTCGCTCATCTGGAGCATTACTAACGACGTTCTCTCACCTTTCATTTTTTTATTCTTTTGTGAATACGCACGCTGATCCCGCGAGTCCTTGAAAGATCTTCATATGTACGCAAGCACCGGGATGTCATCATTCTCGTAATATTAATATATACCTGTACCTGCTGTAATATGCAGCGACCGTCGCTAAAACTAGCGTCAAGCTTGAGTTAGATTGCGAATTGCGAAGACTAGAACTCGACCAATTGGATAACATTAATATTAATTTTTTTGTTCTGCTCGATCGAATTTCTAATCCTCAATTCGCCATCCTTAATCTTTAATTCGCAAGTTCGTCGTTGTTTGTTAAATATAAATCTTTCATCGTTCATTATTTGTATAGTGCAACTTCATAGGCGAATCAATAAAAGTCCGATTGATTTGCGCTCTGTGATCTCGTAAAAAAAAAATCGCCCCCCTGGCGAACCGTGATATGAATGGTAAGTGACAAATCCCGATGATACACCTGCACATTCGTACTATTCACAAAACTCGTATAAATAATAAACTGCAAATCTCGAAACTCAAATAGCATACGAATCGCGCATCGTCTGGCGCTAGCTTAACGATATGCTAATGCTGCAATGTATGTAACTCGTTACAGCAAGCAGTCAAAGCAAGACCTAAACGATGGATTAATCCTTTCGCTTACGGCGAGTCCAATTATAGATACATACTTTATCTTCGCATATAACGTTAATAAAAATATATAAGAAAGATACTCGGTAGCAAAGTTCAAGAAGAAAGAAAAGAAAAGATCCCAAAGAAAAGATAATTATTCCTTGTGCTTTCTTGTGCATTCAATATGATTACGGTCAAGATCTTGTCCTTAAAAATGTTTTGCTATGCTATGTTATAATCTTGCGAAATTTGAAATTGAAAGATTATAAAGAAGGGCTACTTTCTACATGTTGTAACAATAATTGTTGTAATAATAAGATAAATCATATTACATAAATAGTAAATGTAAAGTAATAATTAATTAAAAATAATAATAAGTAATAAGTACTAAGAAACAACTATGTTCAAAAATTAATAGATTAAAATTTTCAATTTTCAATAGATTGTTATGGTAATCAAATATTACAATCTATTAAGCTCAATGTCAATAAAAATGCAATAAAAATACAAAAAAAATTTATTTTTTTTTGTTAAAAGAAAATATTTTTTTATTTAACAGTATATTTTGTGTAACAGTATATTTTGTGATTAAATCGATATTTCTTAAAAATTACATTATTTTTTCTGTTAAAGTTTAATTACGCACTGTTATCTCACAATGTTTGATCATTCGCATTGTTTTACGATTCTGAAGTTAAAATTTTGATAAAATAAAATTCATTTGAAATTAATTGAATAATAATGAGACGAGCGTAAGTTTATATGTAACAAACAATATCACTTTAAAAAATATTGAGTTGAGCATCTTCTTTGCTATTCGCCTGAATTATTGTTTGATTATACATTCATTTTTCACTGTAACATTTGAATTGCACTGTATGTTCGTCATACAAAGACCACTGTCATGATTTGATGAAGGATGACAAAAAACGTCGCAATCGTCTGGGCCACCCAAAGGAAACGTACGATATTCTCAACACACGATATGTGTCTTCTCACAAAAGAGTTTATTTGTTTTTAATGACATACATTGTTCTCGACGAAACAATATAATTCAGTTCGCGATTATCTCGTAATTTATCAAAAAGTTGATATATTACTCTTATTAATAGTACTTTTATATAGCATAATGATTTATTGATAAAAACAAAGGATAAACAGGCCTGAGATGAGAGCGAAATAAAAGATGTGAAGTTATTAAATTTACAGCTTTAGTACAAAAAGAAAAATCGCGAAACTAGTTTCGATCTTATTTGGTCTTTCTCTCAGTCACAAGTAATCAAATTAATCCGTAAATCATAAAAAAAAAAAAACATTAGGTCATTGACGATTGAGTTACAGATAAAATGATCAGAAATTGAATTTGAGAGAGGCTGTTGATTAGATGATGCGTAAAAATATAATATAATTTATCAATAAATCATTATGCCGCATAGAACTACGTACGCCGTGCGTGCAACACGACAGTCATCTTCAAAGAGCAGTCGGAGAGTTGACGGGGGTACCCGCGCCGGCGTACTTAAACTCAAGTGAGACTTTCCTAAGTGATGCGTTTCACGCGCTGCTTGCTTTCTACAGGAGAGCCGGAGAGCCACCGGTCAGGAATGCCACCGCGCGGTGGTGATACAATCTGATTTAAATTTGACGCTATTTGCTCTTCTTACCTGTGATTACCTAACGGCGGATAATTCCGTTTCGCAACGAAGCGCCGGCGGTCACGCAATCTCTCCCTCATCGGCGTCCTCCTCCACCACCGGAGCGGATGGCTGGAATCCCACCTCTTTTGCGCGCAAGCGACGAGCGACGGACGATGATTGCCGGCGGTTCGGTTCATGCCGGATGACTTGCACAAAAAAAAAAAAAAGTAGGATAAGTAGCTTCACCCGTTATTAAAATCGAAAGGAGTGCCCCCCGATCGTCGCTTTCCCCCGAAATCGTCAAATTTCAAAGAAATTGATTTGATTTTACCTCATCGCAACGCGAGATTATTCAGTAGCGAGATGTAATGGTGCGATATTTACATTTCACAGGGGGATATATATTCCCAGGGAAAATGATATTGAAATGGGATGTACCAAGCGTGCGGTTTTCATGTATTCCGACGCATTCCGACGAGGCGGAAAATCGTTTTATGTTAATTTCAATGTTCCATTTGATGCGCGAACAGCTTGCTTACGTGATGTAGAAATGGATATATATATATGTAATATGAAATGGATATATATTTTTGTACAAGTGCGAAAACACTTTATACGACTTGTTAACATTTAACAAGTGTAGATTATTAAACCGTCACGCTACGTTAAATGACTGTTTGCCAGACTTTTTAACGAGTCAAACAGTAAGCTGTAATGTGCGAATGCTGGCATTACGGAAAATCGCGCCATGGCTCGCTGAGCGATACGCAACGATGCTTCCGGAGATATAGAGTGTTACCAAATTTTATTGCAAACAGAAAATGAGGTCTAGTTAGACGAATGAAAAACGTAAACGAAATTAGGCAATGTGAGAAGGAAGAAATGAACTTCGTTGTGTTATTCGCACTGCCAGTAACTACTAGTAAGTAATAGCAGCTCTTACCTCTCGCAAAGTTTTAAGTTAAAGTTGACAGATACAGCGCACATACTACTTTTAAAGTTTCTTTAATTAATAGCACGCGACCAAGAAAGAAGCATATATCATTTTAAGACGAAATTTTTGGCTCTATTTTGTTGCATTATTGTTATTACTATTGTTATTAATATTTAAATTAAATCTTATATTATTTACGTCGATAATTCAGTTCTCCTTACAATCTTGTATGCTATTCACTGCAGGCATGATATCCATTAATGATAAACATGAAATTTGTGACTTTACATGTGCATAAAAATAAAACGTATTATTAGGAAATAGATGTGCATAATTTTTACTTATAAACTTTAACTATAAATAGATTAAGCTACACGATTTTTTTATACGCAATTAAATTCGTCTTTAAATTTGTTATACTTTCGTTAAAATTTTTTTTAAAAGAATAGTAAATTGTATGAATATTTAAAAAATTTAAATATAAGTAAACATTAAAATATTATTGTTTAAAACATATCGTTTCATATCTCTTTATTTAATAATATGCTTAAAATATTGAAAGTTTTTTACTAGTAAGGTATCTCGTTCTCTTAACATGTGTAAGATATTCATGAAGCATATGTGTGTCTCTTTATTTTGATTTATGTTACACATATCCCATTGAGAGAATAAATCTTATGCATTTTTCTTACAAGTATAACTTTTTACAATTGTATAAAGACTTGATATAAAATATAGAAATTCAAAAATAAAGAAATACAGTTAAACATATTGAAGGTACAGTATAAAATATAATTAAAAACAGAATCAAAATATGAAATAAAACAACGCAATTGAGAAAGTATGAAAATAGAAAATATATTGTACAAAACTTACATATGCGTCCATTCCATTATTGTAATTGTCATATTGTATTAATATTAATAGTATTAAATTGTGTTTATGCTTAATGTTATTATAATAAAAAACTTATTTATACATATATTATATATTATATAATATTTGTGGACTACATCACTTTTTTCTTATTTGTAAAAGTAAATAATTTTAGATACTGATATGGTAATCTGCTTTAAGAGATATAAGCTTTATCATAAAATATAATTCGTCATAAAATGTATCTTAAAAATCTAATAAAAAAATATAACACTAATATAAATTGCAAAACAATTTAAAATCATTATTAAAATCAAAATAAATTAAAATAAACGTAATTGAAAACGATAATTTCCAATAAACATAAATATATTTATATATAAAAACATATTAAAGAACTAAAATTTGTGTCACAAATAAATCATTATAAAAAAAGGAATGTAAATTAGTTTTTTCCTTTCTATCCATTAATATCTATTTTTTAATTACATCCATGTCCATTGTTATGAAGTATTCATATGTTATCAAATAACACAAGAGCCCAAGAAACGTCTAAAATATGTTTAAGAAAGTTTTGAAAAAAATAAAAGATTCCTTAAACATTTTTTATAACGCATCTTAAATGCTTATACTGTTTAATATCACTATTACTATCACTAAGCCGTTACATTAATTCTCTACTTCACTGGCGGTATTTTCGTCATATTGAATGGATGGTACCATGGGCGGCTTAAAACCATACTCCATCTTCGATTGCCTGAAACTTCCGTGATGCGTTTCCGGCTGCCTGGATTTTCTCAGAGCGGCCAAGGATTGAGCGGCACTCGTGGAAAACTGCGGCGATTTCGTTTGAGAGAACACCTTTCCCTGTGAACTTTTGCGCGGTGGCGCAGGACCCACGTACTCATCCTTGACCTTATCCTTCTCCACTAAATTATAGATGACTTGCCGTCCAAAGGATGGTACCGTATACGACGACGCATGCGGCCGCAATATCACATGACTGCCAAACTTCTTCGGCAGTATCATCAGTTTAATGTTGGAATAGTGTGACGTGGGAACATAATTCTTGCCAACATCGACATTGTAATCGTATGCCAACGGTCTGCCGTAAGGATTGTAAAACTGCGACACGTTCGTCTCACTCTGCGGCTGCGGCACGAATGTCAAGCGGCCGGCAATACCGTGGAGATTCGCGGTCTCGCCGGCAAAAACTGGTTCGTGCGGCTTTTGATAATATTTAGTAAATCTAGTCTCGATCGAACCGCTGTTGTCGATCGGCCTTTCCGCGTCCGCACGATACGGCCGAGGAGGATGCGAGGAAGCCGCGGGCTTCTCCGTGGGCTTCTCTATCGGCACCGCCGCGTGCGCCGGCTGCTCGATCGGTGTCGCCGCGTAAGCCGCCGGTAGTCTCACGTGCAACGGATGCGAAGGAGGCTGTACTACTAATCGCTGAACCGTATATGGCACCCTTTTCTCGACCACCCGTTCGATGTGGATCGGATAGATGTGCGGTACGCGAATGTGCTTCTCCACCACACGTTCGAGCGGCACTTGCACGTGCATGGGATATGGCTGTGGCACCGATACCGGCACCGGTACCGATACCGGCACTTGCACCTGCACCTTCTTCTCCACCGGAACTTTCTTTTCGATCTCGATCGGATACGGTCGTGGGATCGGCACCAGGAAGCCTCCGTTCGCGAATGACCCGTCGGGAATTATCCTAAGAAGAAGTTGCGAAACTTCCGGTCGTCTTATCTCCGGCGATCGAAATGATTGTTTATGATCGTACGGCTGAGGTACGTGATTCGGTTGTGGTTGTTGCACCGAATGTTGATATGTATTTGATACATATGTTTTTACAGGTTCGGTTGCTGCCTCTTGTCTCGTGGAACTTTCGATGGGTTTTCCGCGTGATGGTGTATTGTTATCGTTGCCATTAAAGCTATGTCGCACATTGGATTGATCGTACAACGTGTCGTCGAATTGATTCGGGGCCAACAGAGCGGAATGTATACTGTTGTATTGGAATGGTTGCAATTCTAGGGATGTTTGCTCATTGGAACTCGATGAGTACTCGGCGCCCACAGCCGAAGCTACCGGTCTGCCGACGTCGTCCTCGAGGGCATTATATTCGTGCCGATTAAACTTCTGCGAGAGTGTGGATGCGTGCGCTTTAATGACCCTCTTTTCGTCTTGGTCGTTACCTGTAACGGAAGACGATATTAACGCATTGTCTACCGCGTTCCACTATGTATGGGTGAAAACTGACTGAATTTATAGTAGCGCTGATGCGTGCTTTAATCATAATGCGAGTATTATTACGCGTATATAGCATATACATAGCATTATTTCGTCGTTGCATATTAATTTAACTTTGCATCATATTGATTTTTTTTCCGTGTTGAAATGTCCCGATTTTTTCCGGTGTTGAAGAAATTTAGTGAAAGTAAATATCTCTCTTAAAATTATTGTGTGCAGTTTCTTTAACTTCAGCGTTTATATGAAACCTCGAGCGGAATAACAGTTGCATTTTATAAAAACATAAAATTGATAAATAAAAGTAAACGCACATATATTTTATTTTTACATTAATTAAATATTATACTTTTTGCATTTTTATTTTTAAAATTAAAATACTGAAAACTTAAGAATTTTCTACCTCTACTATTCGCTATACACAACTTTGTTATATAATTTTTGTTGTTGTTGTTTATATAATCTAGCAATTTTTTGAAATAATTAGAATTAAATTAAAATAAATAAATAACAATTGAGCAATTGATAAACGTTACCTCGATAAGTATCATAAGCCGGTCGTAATTCTGATTGTTCGATTTGATCATATGGCTGCTTCGATCTCTGCAAATTTCCAATATTGTTCGTTTCAATAACACCAAGATTCGTAGTCTGCTGAATATACTCTGGAGGATAATGAATCTCGTGTATCGGCGCGGTATGATAGAGCTCAATGGACTTTTGAATCTCGACGGAATTGTCGGGAACTTTTTGCGTGACGATTTCAACGTGCTTTTCCGTTTCATCGCGTTCAATACCGTCATCCTGATAATCAATACGCGATTGATTTCCATTGTTCTTGATAAATTCCTTATCCACTGTTGCTAAACGTTGCAGATCGTCCTGGGGATAATCCTCGATGTCCGCGGCAAATTGTTTGTTGCCATCTGCCAAACCAGCTTCATCAGCGTTCACCAGCGTGATTCCGACTTGCAGGGGGTTCAGCATGATCGAGGATGTCGTTATACTAGAGGGAGCCATTTTGGAATTATCAACATTGCTGTCTGAGATAATCCTGATACTTTCGATTGGTCTGTATGCTTCAGCATCGTCGTCCATATAGTCAACCATTTCCCGAGTCTCTTTATTAGGCAACTCGGGCACTACTATGGGACTTAAGAATTTTGTGTTCAACGAAGGATTGATCTCCACGATCGTCGACGTTCTCACAACGCTCTCGGATTTTTTGATAGATTCCACAGACTTCTTCGTGCTTCCTTCGTTCGCGGTATCGTTACGCGATCGAAATAATCTCGCTTGTGGCGTCGGAAGAGGTTCAGGTACGACATCGTTTTCGAGGATCGAAGCGACGTTGGTTTTGTCCGAAGAGCTTTTCGTTGTGCTTTTAATATTTAAAATTCCATCGGAATTCTGCGCGAGCGTTTCTGATTTTATCACGTTAGAATTGTCTGGAGGCGAATCGTCTGCCAAACTACTTTCCTTCTTCAGAGCGAGCACGAATGGTTCCCGAGTAGCCGGGAACGGGTGAAGTCTCCTACGACTGTCTTTACTTTCGAGAGGTGACACAGTGCTACTGAAGGGCTTCTGAAAACTCTCGTAGTCGTTGTCATTTCGACCCTCGTCAGTCCGAACGATCGTCCTGATGATCGTTCCGTCGTGCGGTTGATCGTGCCGGACTTTCTGTCCAAAACTGCCGGCATTTTCAACGAGGAACTCATCCTCAGGTACGATATACCCTGGCTCGTGTCTCAGATACTCTCTAAATGGATACTCGTCGGCTGCTTCTAAACGGATACTTGTATCGGCGGCTGTGAGCGGCGTCGCATAAATCGATCCTGACGAGGAGGAATCGGTCGTAGAAACATCACTCGGTTCTCTCTCCTCGTCGGCGTGAACTGCTGATCTACTTAATCCGGCATTCGCGAAGTCGACAGAATGATCTTCGTCTGCATCCGTTTGCTCGGAACTCCTCGCTTCTACGTCCGTCACGTACGGCTGCACTAGCTGTTTCGCCGACAAATCACGAAACTCCGTGTAATCTACAGCCTGAAAAAATAAATCAGCTAAATGTAATTGTTCAGAAAACTGTAGCAATCATTCGGAATAACTTAGATTGATGAAGATTTGATCGGAAAATTATGAAACTTCCTTGCGAAATTAAGTTATAGAAATAATTCCTTTTACAGAACTGTATCATATATTATGTAATTTAATTTCGTTGATTGATGAACAAATATTTATCTTAATTATATTATTTATTATAATTTAATATATTATTAGGTAAAATTAATATTAGCATACAGCATTATTATTAATTAATTATCAAAATATAAATGATGTATGAATGTTAGATAAATTTGTTTTGTGTAGGATAATAACTGTTTAAAAATAATTTTAGATATATATATATATATACTATTTTACTAAAAATATCAGATATATTAATATTTATACATATTTAGTAAAAATTATAATAATAAAAAAAGAATTAAAATTGAACAAGAAGTTATTAGTTAAAAAATTAGATATCAATAATAATATAATATATTATCTTTTAAATTTTGTAATATCTAATATTTTTATTATTCTAATATTTTTTCTATATATTTGTCTATATATTTGTCATTCTTCAAGCTTTTGTTACAAGTTTCAATAATTTACAAAAAAGACATCATCAAACTCATTTGTCAATTATAACAATCGATGTGTTACTGATTATCGTTTGCCATTTATTTGTGAGAATGTCCATATAAATCACACGTAAGAATTTTTTTATTACCTATATAACTTTGTAATTATACAATATCAAGAAGCACTTCCTTTCATCTTTTTAAGTAGTCTTAATTATCGTGTTCAGCGTCGCTTTTAAATTACTTTGAACGCTCATTAAGTAACTTTCTTCATTCTATCACGTTGAAGTGACTCGTTTATTTCTTTCCTTAATTCTTTCTGCGGTATCTGGCATCGATGCTTGTCGACCGGAGAAGGAAACGAGATACTTGATCGCGTTTAAGCGCCACGGATCTCCAAACGAAGCAAATCGCGATGACCCAGAAGATTTTACAAAAAGAAGGCGTAAAAAAATGTGAAGTGTAGCACTTGCGACAAAAATCGATGATAAAGGTGCCTTAACTATTTCAAGATAACAATGTTGACACACTTTCCCGTGAAAAGAGACTCACATTACTAATATACATTCATTATACATAAAAAGGATAAAAGAAGCAATATTTTCAAAAAGTTTATAGCATAACAAACTACTTGATCTCATGACTCATATTTCATCTGAGCGATAAACTTTCTCGTGACTATCGTCGCTCCGCGAAGAGATAAATTTAGTCGGGGAAGATAGAGGAAAAGCGTTAATAAGTTTCGCTAAGCTCTGTCATTGCGGGAGATAATTATCTTGGTGCTTGAAAAGAATCGAAAGGCACTCTGACTATACGGGACGGACGCATCTATTAAAAAGAATTTGCGGCGTCCCATAGTTTCCCCGTCGTAATCCCGCACGACAATCTTTCCGTATCGCGGGGAGGTCGGCGCGGTGGCTGAAAATAACATATCTGGCGGTCGCCCGGCGCGAGAGAAAGGTGCAGTTACGGTACCGGCACCGATCTCCCTTTCTCCCGTGGCGTTCGAGCGAGAAGAAAGGAGAAATGAGAAAGATGCGCCGCATTCCTGTACCGCGCGCAAAAGAAAAACCAGTGAGAGTCGATGGTAAATCCCGATGGTCCAGCGAGAACGAAGCGGAGCCGATACGTTCTCAATGCGCACCGGTGGACCCTTTACTTTCTCTTTACCTGCCAAAACAACATATTTTACTTTCTTTCGCAAAACATATAATTCTGTTACTTTTAATTGAATTGTGGCTCAAAATGACGAATTAAAAAATTCGCAGAATTAATTAGAAGCTGGAAGCTGAATCTTTCCGAATGGAATCTTACACCATTGCAAAATTATTTTGCACTTTTCTTCTGCGTTGAGCGGATAACATTTTATATATTTTCAACGTTTCAAATTTCTAATAATTAATTCAGATAATAATAGTTTGTTATCATCAGTTAAATGAAGAGTAAAGTCTCCACGAATTTGAAATTAAAATTTTGTAGCTTAAAGCTTAATTTGATAAAATTCTTTAACTTTTAATGGATAAATAATTTTTCTCGAATAATAATTAAAGTTCATATATATATATATTTTTTAAATAATGTATTTTTATACATTTGTAGAAAGTTATTTATTATATTTTTCGAGGCTTTTCGAGGTATTTTTTTTACAACATTCGAATTTATTTCGTACTTGGTTTACGAATGACCTAGTTCGAAGAGTATTCTCGGTGAAGAACTAGAAGAGTCAAGAACTTTTTGCATGTTACGGATCTATGATGATGTATGGACGCGTAAATATTACGAATAAATCAAGACATAATTGACTATTTACCGTTCAGCTTATCCGACACGGATGCAGAGAGAAGTGGTGCATTAAAATAATAATAACAGAGCAGTAACGCCTTTTGTAGGGCAAATGCGTTAAATAAGAAATAATCACAAATTTGTTAAGACACCGGTAGTCCGTATGAAGAGCGAGCAGTCTTATCTTTCCTTTTTCCAGTTTGATACATGATTTATACATAAACGCGTCGAAAACAACTTTCTCCGTATATTATTCTCCTGTCATGAAGAAATAAATATTCACTGAACTATCTGCGCGTGTTTTGATTAATTATAAATTAATAATATTTACAGAAACAGTAATATTTATAGAAATACTTAGTCTTGTCGAAAGTGCAAATATTCATTAATTTCAACTTCTGCTTAACATTCTTGTTGTAGGAGAGCCGCAAATCTCGTTGGATAGATGCCATCGAAAAAGTAATATTAACTAAAAGGATTCGTACAATTAGACGGTAATTTAGACTTTTTCAAGAGAGCTTGAAGTAGTAGTCGAGCGGAACATAATTTTCTCAGCTTTCCGATCGGGAGATTTAAGTGGCGGCCATCATGGCGTACACTTGACAAACGTCGATCGATTCGTTTTCCCCCTACGTTGCGTGACATTGTGTAACACATGTGTGCGCGATGGTGCATCTCGTTGGAACAACGAGCAATCGCTGGCGAAACAACGAATTTACGTCCGCGTGTGACCACTTTCACTGGCGAGTTTCCTTTTAACGCGAGGAAAATACGCGCTCCTCGTGCCCGTCGGCGCATTCTCCGCAAGTCGTCACCGTTTTACCTTGTCCCTGACAGCCGTTCCGCGAGCGCGCCTCTTAATTTTCGGTATGCTTCGGTATTTGTATAATAGCTTGCGTCAATTTCACCCAGAATGCACACGGACTAAACAACCACGGATTAACCCGCCCGCTGACGCGGCTCGCGCCTGCACGACGCGGAATTTTCCATTTTCACCGTTTATCCTTAAACGGCTTAAAATGTGTTTTGTCTCGCGAGAGAGTATAAAGAAAACTGGAGACACTTCCACATTGCTAACGCGAAAACAACTTCGCTTTTAACTGGCAAATTGAAACTTAATTAAAAAAATTTTTATTTATCCCGAAACGGGATTAGAAAAGTGCATTTACCGCTAGTTTTCTTCATCTCCACTTTTCTTATGATGATAATGAGCACACTGTAACGTCTGTAATTATTAATTTCCGAGAAAATTGAGAGGAAAGAAAAAGTTTTCTTTTTATATTATCATATTAAATTATGCAAATTATGCAAATTTCAGTTTTAGAAGTTAGAAAATTTATTCTCATTTTTCTTATATTCATCTATTAATACTATAATTTTTTATTAATTTTGAAGTTATACTTTATAGTTTAATTTATTTTGTCCGTAATATTATAAATGTTCCTAGATAGCAAAATAACGTCTAATGATGTCTTCAACGTCAATAGTACATCATTAATCATCATCTTGCTATCGGGGATGTAACGAAAAATTGTATTTCTCTCTTTCTCTTTCTTAATGTCTTTTAAAACAAAACTGTATGAATAAAAAGTTTCTTTCGATAATTTATACTCTACTAAAGAATTCTTGGCAAGCAAAGCGGACGAAAGTACATTCTGACACACAAAAACATGAACATTTTCAGAGTATGCAAATAAAAATGTACGCGAAAGTATTCGACTTTCTTAATTAACATTTCCTCTACAATGATTAAATTTCAAAATACATTGGCGTAAACTTGTTCAATATATAAATTAATTAAATTTTAATCTATATATAAATCGATTAAATTTTTGTAAGGAAATGTTTATATTTGTATATTATTGTTTTCATAAGATATTTAATTTAATCTCAAGTTATTTCATCTTTTATTTTATGTTATTTGAATTAATTTTATATTCAACTGAAAAGCTTTGTGAAAGACATTTTAGAAAAGATGGGAACCACAGCTAATCAACTATTTCGTGTGGCACAAACGCGCTGCAAGTGAAAATATTCTCTTTCTCTCTCTATTTCTCTATATTCGAGACTACGACATTCACTGAGTCTCTCTCTCTCTCTCTTTCTCTCTCTACGTTAGCTCCCAGCTGTAATTCATCTCAGCTCGTCGCGCCTATACGTAAAGTAGCACTAGAATGACGCGCTGCAAGTAGATCGAGGTTAAAGATTTCTATGCCCCAAGGTTAAGGATGTTTGTAAGTATTCGCCTAAACTCTAGGGCCTATCTAGTATAAGTTCGAGTTTCCCCCTACGGCTATAGCTGTCGGAGTAAAAAGAAGAAACTTTTTTGATTATGCGCTCCAATCATCTTCGAACTTTCTCTACCATGTAGTGGAACTATCAATCTGGATTTAATTACGACTATTTTTGTCTATATAATTTTTGATTATTCTCAAAATCATTTTGTACTAAAAAATTTTACTTAAATTTTGATTGGAAAACAAATTAAGATAAAATTTGTATTTGCATTTTATTTTTTTAATTCCTGTATGATCAATGAATTATCTATCTTTTGCCTAGAATTATTTAACAATTTTTAATTATAGATACAAAATACAGCTGTAATTAAAATTAGTAACATTTATATTTTACATCTATAACTTTTTCAATAAAATTCATTGTTAATGATTTATTAAATAATTTTCTAAATTATAGTTTAATATAATACCATTTATTGAATTTACCTTTTCATTATTTACATTTTCGATGTTACGTTCCGAAGATACAGTTATAAATGCCGCCCATGTGATAAGAGCAACCTATAAAGAGAGTGATTATGATATATCCTGTGCGTCAAAAAAATGACACTGTTACCTACATTTTGACATAAAAATATGAACTAATTGTAGACTTTGCCAAATTTGTTTATCTTAAAAATACGCAATACACAATTTAACTGATAATAAATATAATTTCTGTTTTATAATTTTGTTTGCATGCAAACATGCAGCAAGATAATACAATTTTGAAAACAATAAATATTCAATACATTTTTATTTTATGAAATAAAATTTTTACTTTTCTCTTTATTGTTCTTAATAAAAGCAAAAAGACATTATCATGATTCTACATTATTCTTTAACTTAAAGGATTGTAGTTAACACAGATAATTATATACAATTGTGTGTGTGTGTGTGTGTGTGTGTGTGTGTGTGTGTGTGTGTGTGTGTGTGTGTGTGTGTGTGTGTGTGTGTGTGTGTGTATAGAAAATTTACAATATATAATTGATCAAAATAATTTTAGATTGTTCTGTCATTCAACATTTACTTTCAGCAATTATTTTAAATTTAAAATTTATTTTAGATATATAAATATATATAACATTAGGATATTAAATATAAAAATTTGCTGTGTATGTATTTCAGTGTATTTAAACTGATTTGAAACACTTAAAAAAAAAAAAAAAAAAAAAAAATAATAAAGAAGAGAAAGAATATAAGAATTGATTTAACTCACAGTGTAGAGTTTCATATCTTCTGCCTTAATTCATTTAATGAGGAGGGTACTCGAAAACAAATTGCACAAGTCCAATTGCGCGGATTTATCCTGCCGCCGACGATTTCCGGCTCTCTTTGCACGCCTCTACCGCGCGGTATTTCGCGTGCCCGACAACGTATGCACTCGACAACGAGACAGTGTGCACTACTTCATCTTGACGCGATACACTTGACTTAAGCCGAAGCTCCAGTTATCCCCACGCCGGCAATTCGAGAAGTCGCGGCAGCCACCTACGAAATCCCTCCAGCATCCGCGATACCCACCACACGCTCCTCACTTGTGTGTCGCTTACCTGGCGATCGGAGGAAGTAAGAGAATCCGTCGTGAGAGGAGCGACAAGGAGGGAGGTAGGGACGATCGTGGAGGGTGGATGGCTCAGAGAAAGAGATTAGCGATGGATATCGCAACGCAATGTGTAACATTAAGCGATGTGCTAAGTGTGATGAAAAATAACCTTTCGGTAAATCTTATGTATTGTCAAATATCAACTTATATTCGAACTAAATTCGACTTAAATGGATCTCTCTAACGAAATCATCTTTTTCTGTAAAAATTCAATTCAATAATTTGCGAAAATGAATAATCTAAACATTATTTTCTAAAAGTAATAGGCTAATTCTTTCTTAAAAAAATAACTGTTCGTTAAATAATTAATGATATTTTATTTGTTTGAATTTTTATTGTTTTATATTTATCAGTAGCGGAATGCGAGGTGGTGAAAGTGACATTGGCTGCTCGAAGAGGGGATTTTAATGACTCTTCAATTTTCCTCTCTTTCATTCTTGAATGTTATGCACGTCGTTATACTTACGACGCTCGATTTCACCGAAACAATTAAATTGATAGAATTTTGATTCAACAAAAATACATTTTTATTGCATTCCCAAAAAAGATTTATGAATATGAAATAGAAAATAGATAAACTACATTGCACAAAAAAAGACTTTTTAACATTATTTTTAAATTCTTTCTCTCATTCTATTTGTTTATAAATATAACATAAAATTTTATAATAACGTAAATTGAAAATGTCATTTTTGTCTCTTAAAAATATATTTATAAATATAACTTATGTATGTATAAATTTATGGAATAATATATAATTTAATATGAAATAATATTTAATTTAATATAATTTAATAAAAAGAAATTATTGTCAATATATAAAAAATATACATAAGTTTTATAATTTTTGTTATTCTTTTATAATTTTAAAATGTATTTTATTATTAAAAATAAAATTTTCTAGATATTATTTAAAAAAAGATTGAATTTTTATCAAATATAAAGTTTTTTTCTGTAAAATTTTCAAACTTTATGAACTATTAATGCTAGTTTTGATAATGACAAACATATAAAAATTGTAATATAGAATATGCTCTACACTGTAGTTTTCGTTTAAGCAAAGGAAGAACTACTCTCATTCCTTCATTTTCCTCTCTAGTTTTCCCCTATTCCATAAGTGGTAAGTTGTGTGGTATGCCATGAAATTGGAACATGCGAATACTATAATGCACTGCGTATGTCGAGTATATCCTATAATGCTATTAATTAAAATTATACATTTTTGGTTTATTTTTATATAAAATAATTATAATATCGTAAAAAGTAATTATATATTAACAATAATAATATAAAATATAATATGAGAATAAAATAAAATAATCTAATTGATTTTTTCTTTTAAATATTTTTTTTGTATAAAATTTAATAAATAATTTATAAATTAAAAATATATGTTAAATATTTGTCTTTTTCTATAATTTTGTATTATATAATACACATGTACGTAGTTTATATAATGAAAAACTATTATATAAGACAAAATAAAATATTTAAATATAATTAAAATTAAATAATTATTGTAGAGATTTTAAAGAGATTTCAAAACTGTATTATCAATCAAACAATTTTCATAAGAGTTTTTATATGTATTGCCTTTGTGGATTCGGGAAAATTTTTTCCATAATTAAAATTTACATATTAACATATATAAATATTTGTACCAAATTTGGATTTTATACCAAAAACAAAACAAATTTTTAAAAACTGGATCTTTTTTTTATTTTGAAATAAAATAATATATTTTATTCTTTTTTTGTATATACTTAAAGCATATAAATACGTATATTAAGAAAATCTTTTGTATTTTATTTTATTGTATATCGATTCGCTGTTTAATTTTGGAATTAAGAAATCACTACTATATGTAGATTTCTCTTTAAAAATTAAAAATTTTGAAAACAAGAATTTTTGGCTTTGTTAAAGTTTGAAATAATAAAAAGTAAAATTTGATAGCAATATATCGTTTATTTTAATTTGCTAATATTGATTTATAAATTTATAAATTTATCATACAATGTTGCAAAAAATATACAAGAGACTAAAATATAAATTTGGATGATGAAAGAGGGAACCAATGCAAGTATTTTATGTAAAGGAAGGATTTTATAGATCGATAACGCTTGATTACAGCTGGTAACAATTGTTTAATTGAATCATTTAATTGAATCACAATGTTTGCAATGCAACCTAGCTCATTTGCTTATTTATCTTTCAAGATTCTTGCTCTCTCTCTCTCTCTCTCTCTCTCTCTCTTCTTCTTTCTTTACTTTTACTTTACTTTACTTTAACTTTAACTTAACTTAACGT